TATTACTACGAGTACGTGCGCACAGGTCAAATAACGGAGCGGAAACAACTTGTCTCCCTAGCAATGTGCCCGCTTCTTCTCTCTCTCTTTCTCGCTCCCCACCCCGCCAAGTTTAAGTTGTTGTGGTCGTTGAGGTCCTTGGGTTCGGACGGTGCCGCACTGCGCACCACCAGGGCATGTGCCAAAATCGATGTCAAGGCGGGGTGGGGAGGAGGAACGGGGAGGGGCAGCATGACTGCCCGACCCCATTAACTGTTCTCGAATAGTGTGGCACATATCCCACTTCCAGGAGGGCGGCGGCGTTGACTTAAAACCCAGCGGGGGGGAGAGAGAGCGAGAGAGAGATAGAGGAGGGAAGCGGGACATGTTCCAGGGAGTCAGTTGCTTCGTGCGCCTGGTAGGCACCCGAAACTTGTATATGCACCTTTCGGCCCTTGGCGTCAAGCACACGTCGTTGCCCCTCCATTTGCAGTTTAGCGCAGCTGGTGTTGAGTCAAACGTTCTCCTCACGTTCAAGTATGGCGTCGGGGACTTTTTGTGCGTTGCCAGGGTGAAGGTGTTTCCAAGTGGCAGCTGGGGGTTGGAGAGACACGCCCAAGGGAAAATCATTTCTATGCCGTCGCATCTCCTTCTGACGGAATTTCTGATAGAGGCTCGAGGGAATAACGGTGGTCACCCGCTTCGTGTAACAAGGCTTGTTATAAGTAGGCTGGTCAGGGCTCCTCGTGAGAACAATATCGAGTTTGCTTATTTCTTGGATGAGTGGTCTACCCTGGACCTGGACTTAGTCACGCAACAAAAAGCTAAGAAACGAAAAACAGGCGACCCCAAACCTTGGATGCCGTTCGGGCTGAGTTTTGACGGACCTGATGGGCCAGCGCCACCACCGCCTGGACCTGAACATCCCCACGGGCTTCCTGGATGCGGAGGGCTGGAGGCGGCCGACGGCGAGTTTGGGGCAGAGTCCGACGCGTCTGACTTGGGAGGTGAGTCTATCATTCCAGAATGCACATCCAGTGATGAGGGGGATTTGATGCCTGAGCCTGAGTCCGATGGCCCAGGCCTTGATGAGCCGCCGCCGCCGCCTTTGCCACCACCCCCTGTCGGCCCTCATGGTGAGGAGGCTCATCCATGGGGGTTGGCTGGCCTGATCGGATACGGGAGAGCTCCCACGAGCCGAGCCGCGCGTGGGATCTGCGGGAAGCCAATCGAGAAAGGCACGTGGCGAGTTGAGCATCGGATGACTAACAGCATTAATGCACGAACCATGTGGAACGTCAAGCGAATCCACATTCATTGCGTCCAATTTTTGCCAGCAGAGCTGAGGCGAGCTAACTTTTTAGTTGCCCAAGATTGGTCCAATCGCCATGGACTCAGTTTGCAAGAGCAGGGGGTTCTCGATGAGCTTGTGGACCTGCTCAGAGACGGGCACGGCGCAGCTTCAGGCTCTGGCTTGCCCCCTGGCGCGTAGGCCTTTTCATGTTGGGAGGAGGGGAGAGGAGGTGAGGGATGGCGTGGCTCGTCGGAGGGGGCAGTGCAGCTGCGCCAGGCCAGAGGTCGGCAATGGCCTCATGCACTGCTTGAGTAGACCCATGCAGGTGGGTCGAACTTGCTCGCACCGACAGGCCGGACTCACCCGAGAGGGGCCGCTGGCTCCAGAACACGCTCCAGAACAAACTCCAGAACAAAATTTGTTCTGGAGCATGTTGAAAAACCATGTGTTTTTTCAGGTTTTGTGATCTCCAGAACATTTTTTGTTCTGGAGGCGACCTCCAGAACACTATTTGTTCTGGAGCTAGGGTGGTGCAAGTCTGGCAGTTTGAGGCGGCCTGCACGGTGCAAGCGAGTTAGTTTTCGAAGCCGTCGGCGGTGCACGATCGCGCAGTTGAGCTTGCAGCCCGCAAGAAACTATGCAAAATATTTGCACGCCCGTGTCGATCAGAGCCACTAGGGTTCGGGCCCAGGTGTCTGACTGTCTTGAGACCGACTGGCGCATGAGGTCGCAGCATCGTCTTGTGAAGCCCTCTTGGTCCGCGTGGAGCCCGACGCACGCGTCATTAACATTAGCATCGGGCGTGGTCGCAAGTAACGCAAGCTAACGCAGTTGTAAGCATTGGCATGCAGCATGACACATTCCAAAGGCAACGCAAGCAACGCAGGCCAAGCGCACATCAGTCATCAGTCGCATCAAGCATGCTCACAGCATTAGCAACAGCAGCAACCATATCCCACCATAAATATCGTTGCCTGTCTGGCTCCAAGGATCCCTCTCCGAGCGGCCCTGCGCACTCCCAGTCAGTGTCAATTGCCAGCCAGCACTTCCGACCTCGCAGCCTCAGCTCTCAGCCTCGATAGCGCCACCTCGTTACATGCGGACGCTTCGCCCAGCGCAGAAGCGATATGTCAAGAAGCTGGAGCGGGCGCTGGATAAGGAGAGGCTGCGCAATTTACACCTTGCAAGGCGGCTTCGCAAGATGTCGACCCAGATGCGCAGGATCACGCGTGTTTCAGAGGATGCTGTTGCCAACGATCTCATTCAGTATAACGCTCAGCGTGCAGAACTCGAAGTTCTCGACAATCTTGAAAGCCAGGCTGCGGCGGCAGACATGATTCTTGACGGCGGCGGCCTATGTGCTGAGTCACATGGTGAGGACGTTGGCCCAGTCAGCCCAGTCGGTGAGGGTGAGGATGACGGTGGTGAACCGTCAGAATCTTGAGGTTGCGCAGGCCTAACCCTTGTTAAACATCGATTGCTGCTCACGTTGCGCCTCTCGCTTGAGCCAGTGCAGCGTTGAGCCTTGCGCGCCTCTGGGGCCACGCTAAACGTATGAGTGTGCATCACCATCATCCATCGCATCATTGGCTTGACGCAGTCATCATCGTCATCATTGCATCATCGCTATCCTCGACAAGGGTCCAAGGTATCATCGTCACCATTGCATCATCATTGCATCATCGCTATGTCGACCTTGGTCCAAAGGTCCAGGGCGTTTCTTCGCCGCGCCGAGAGCATTCGAGTCGGGCCCTGATTGGCCTCTGTCCCAACCCGCCTGCGGGGCACTGGCATTGAGGGGGGATAAGGAGTCACAAGCGATCCAGACTAAGTGAGGTTCCAGAGTTCCAGAGCAACGCAAACCAAATACAATTGTGCCAGGAAAGGTGCGCTCCCAGAGGGCCTGAGGGTCTGCCAGGGAAACAGTTTGACACGATAAGACAGCACATTAAACCTTACACTAGACAGCAAAGCGAAGCAACCCTTAAATCAGCCAGAGCGTCCTCCTTCAGGTGGCGTGCTGTGTGTGTGGTGTGGTGACCTGTGTGGTACATAGCCCATTTTGGGCTCAAGCCTTTGAGGCTTTGAGGCCGCCCGAGCCTCGCACGGGCCTGGCCCGCGCCTGGGCCACTGGCCGGCGGCCTGCCTTCTCGCTTCTGGATTCAGAACTACAGAGCCCAGCGGCATGGGCAAGGGGCCCAGGTCTTCTGCTTCGGGCCGAGCTTCGGGGAAGGCCGCCAACAGCGTCGGCGTCGGTGGCAAAAAGAAGAGGATGACCTGGCAAGAGGAGATCGCAGCTGCTCCACCAAAGCTCTGCGGATCTTGCGAGCAGATGGCGGGGGAGATCGACAAGCACGGTGATGGGGAGATCAGAGTTAAGTGGCATCGTGCAGAGAGGAGCCGCACGTCGGGGGAGGTCTACTTGACGGGCGATGAGTGCTACCACTGCTGGGACACTCGGAGGCGGTACTTCGAGGATGACGTCAAGACCCTCAACAAGAAGAGGCAGGAGAACAGCTCCCTCGACGCTCGCTACAGCTGCTTGCGGAAAGATAGGGTGTTGAAACTTGGGGAGTACAAGCACGAGGAGAAGAAGACTGCTGACGCCTGGATCACCGAGATCGAGGCTGAGTTCTGCGAGGCTTTCGAGGAGGGCGCCTTCTACACTCTCCAGCGCTTCTGCAAGTCGCAGAAGATCAAGCACTCCGAGGACGACAGTGAGGACACCTTGATCAGGAAGATCCGCAGGGTGTGGCCCAACATGGAGATCAAGAAGGACAGCAGGCTGAATGCGATAGGCTGTTGGTACGTCAACGACCCCAATCCGAACCAGGGCAACTACAAGTTCCGCAGAGGCGCCAAGCAAGAGATGCAGACAGTCAAGCGTACGAGGTGCGCCGACGATGAGATGCTCGGTGAGGAGTACAGCGAGGCGAAGACGAAGAAGGGGAAGCTGGTCGGCCTGGGGAAGAAAGTTGCCGTCGCACAGCGGCGTGACTCAGGCGAATGCGATGTCGCCGTCTTGAGCGACGTGGAGAGCAGGGGCAGCGACGACAGCGACGACGACGACAACGGGCTGCAGGAGCAGCAGGAGGACTCGGTGATCATGGCGTCTTCAGCGGGCGGCGGCGACAGCAGCAGGACGCCTCGTTCGAGCCCGAGAGGAGCCAAGGCGGCGGCGGCAGGCCCTGAGGGCGGCGACAGCGACGCCGAGGGCGGCGGCCAGAAGCGCGGCGGCGGGCTAGCCCGCGGAGAGGTGCGGGGTCCACCAGCACACCGCTACGGCATAGAAGTAGCCCCTCCTGCTCGTCCTCCCTCCTCTCTGCTCCTCTGCCTCCGCCCTCATCCCCTCCTCTTCCTCCCGCTCATTATCCTTGTCTCCCACTCTCTCCTCCTCCTCTTCCTCCTCCTCATCCTCCTCCTCCCGCTCCCTAGATTGTCTCCCCCCTCCTCTGGCCTCCCGCAGTTATCCTTGTCCTCCTCCCCCTTCTTCTCCACGCATCCTCACTGCGTCCATTTTGGATCTCGCCGATTCCTGGAACATATGTTTTGCTACCAGCCCCGATTGGTTCTTGGGGTAAGGTAAGGGCTCGGGGGGGCAGAAAACGTGGGTCTTGATCTATCGGATGCCACGGGCCGTTTTGCGGTGGGCTTGGTGGCCCTGAAGGGCGCTGGCAAACAGAAGGCGACCCCGCAGGAGGCTGCGATCAGGAGGCACGCCAAACTCATGGCGAAGGTGAAGGAGAACCACACCGAGGAGCTGGAGTGGAGCAAGCGGCCGAAGACCAGGTTTCACGACTCCGTCATCAACTCCTTGGCCAAGTCAGCCCGCGAGCTGGCCAGGTTCACTGGCGACAAGGACTGCTCGTCATTGTCAGAGCAGGCTGGCATGACAATTTCATTGCTGGGTCAGCGGCGCTCACTGTTCGAGGAGATCAAGAACTCGACCGCCGCGATCGCCCAGAGGACGACGACGAGCGCAGAGCACCAGGTCATGCTCGGCTGCGCGGTGCGGCTGCGGGCGCAGATCGTCCAGCAGGCGTCTTTTTCGCTTGCGGGTACCCACCCACCGCTGATGCTGCAGCTGGCCGTCTGCCCTCGAATCGAGATGCCCGATCAGGACTCAAACCCGCACACGTGGCCTCGCATCGACAAGTTGTGCCTCGGGCTGTTGCTGGAGAACGTTCCTTCAGGGGAGGAGCTCGCCGCGGCTGCATCGTTGGCAGTGCGAACTCAGACGGCCATCGTGAGCGACATGATCGAGCGGATTGTCCTCGAGAGCCCGTCGGAGCAGAAGTCCTTGGAGATGATTGCCGAGATCAAGGCCGCCCTGGGCGAGGACTTCACCCCTTTCGACTTTGATGTGACAGGAACTGGCGATGCTGAGCCCGAGCCCCACGCCAAGTGCGGCCTCTTCGAGCAATCCTACGTGGACATCTCCGTGCTCATCGTTATCGGCGACGCCATCGTCTGCATGAGCGCAGGGGCTACTGTCGCTGGCGAGCTGCGCAAGCAAGCCAAGAAGATGCTGTCTGTCGTGTCATCAATTTCGACTCGCGTCCGCAACCTTGCCTCAGCTACAGTGAAGGGGGGCATCAACAACAACATTTTCAAACGTGGATGGGCGCAGCTATCCGAGATGTTCCCGAATGATACAGGCTTGGACTCGTCGCAGGACGCCGCGGACGCAGCCGCCAAGTTCAAGACAGTCATGGTTCAGAAGGTTGAAGAGGCGGCGGCGGCCGTAGGGGACTCGGCGGACATCGCGTACAACGTTGTGGTGGACTTGTGTGGCGATTACGAAGTGGCCATCACTGAGAAATTCTGTTCCTTGTGCATCGTCAATGCCGACCCCAGCGACTTCGATGAGCTAGCGTACTCCGACTACCAGTCGATGGCAACCAAGGTCGTCAAGTTCCTGTGCACCACCTTGATGGGCCAGTTCACCGTAGAGGATCTCCAGGCCAGGCAAGCTGTCATCTTAACTGTGGTAGGTGTCGCACGTTCCCCCCTCCTGGTGTAAGACATCGCCAGATAAGGTTTGAGCGGGCTCGTGTTCGGATTCGGATGCGTCCTGGGGCGCCGTGTAGGTTTCTTCAGGTCCTCCTGGGGGGCCCTTGTTGGGCTTGACTGGTGATCGTCGCTCGAGGGGTTCTTTGAACCCCAATGCGTTCGCGGTGGGCGAGGTGCGTCACCGACCCAATTAGATGACCGCTCAGGGTAAGCTGTCATCTGCGATGCACGCCGAGGCTTCGGATGACATGTTGCATGATGTCTATTGGGTCGGGCACATCTTCGAACATCTGCTCAACTTTGCACCGAAGTGGACCCGCCTCCACGTTGCCAAGGAGAAGGTCCTTATGGCGAACGCTGCAATGGAGCTGGTGGACACCTGCAAGATCGACGCTTCGTGTGCGACGGGGCTCCGCGAGTGGACCACACTCTACGGGCTGGACCAGCAGTTGCTGGTGACGTTGCAGGGCGCCGCCGACGGCGCGCCCAACGAGCTCTTCGAGGCAGAGTTCGTGGATTTCCTTCGGTGCTTGACGGACGCCTGGTCTACCGTGCAGGTTGCAACCCCTCTTGCATCGTTCGTTCAGCGCGTGGTGCACTCAGCCCACCTCTCAGACACCTTCCTCTCCGTCGCAAAGGAGTTCGACGCAAAGCTGCCCGATGACGTCAAGCTGACCCTGACCTCGGCTCGCTCCATGAAGGCTTTGGAGAGGGCTTTCAACTCAAGCAGGGATGGGAGGCCGTGCGGCCTCATCGAGCTGACGGGCATCCTCACCGACTGCACCGCATGCACCAATGCGGTCCGTGACATCGGGACCTTCGCGAAGCAGGAGAAAGACATGGTGAGGCTTTGGAAGGTCTTGCTGCGCGACGTCGTCACGCCCGACATGGCCGCCGAGGTGAAGGATTTTCTGAGCAAGTACGGTGTCGACACCTTGGCGCCAGCCTTGGACTCGTGGACTTTCACTAAAGAGCTTGCCTTCATCACCGAGGACAAGGCTGATGTGCAGTGGGATGCGAAGATCAAGCGCCTGGAGAAATACATCAACGCATCGCCGACCAATGAGCGCATCATTGAGTTCCTGGGCGCTAACATGACAGCGCTTCACTGGGCTTCAGATGCTGAGAAGGATGAGATCCGCTCCTTGACCAAGGGCGCAGCGCATCGCACGGCTGAGTGTGTACAGGTAGGCGTGGCCGTGTCTTGCCTCACGCTGGCCAACTGCATATGCGCCGCGCCTGAGAGCTCTCGCCAGCGCGCCCTTGACATGTCAGTGCAAATGATTTTCAAACGCTTTGCTACCAAGCTCGAGGCCCTCCCGAAGAGCCTGCAGACCAAAGTCTCAGACACGCTCGGTGGTCAGGTCTCGGCGGGGCCCTCCAAAGGTTCAAAGCTCGGTGCTGAGTCTGATGTGATTATCGTTGCAGGGTCGACCGATCAGTCTACTGCAGCCTCTGCCGCAAAGCCTTCCAAGAGGAAGGTTCCCAAGAAAAGGGTTGTGGACTAGGAACGGTGCAAGGTCAGTTCTTGCGCGTCCAGTTTTGCTTCGCCTGGCCCGTGCAAGTCTGTGAGCGCGACCTCGGAAGCAACCAAACACATGTCGAAACACATGCCACACATCATGCACACACAATTGTACCAATGGTCAGCTCACGAAGTTTCGTTGTAGGGGAACGCTTGCTGGAGAGCCCACCACAGGGTGGGGCTGTGTTGGGTTGGACTCAGTACGAGTCCGCGCAGTTGCTCGCCGCCGCCAGGACACTCCCAGCAGCACAATACACGTGGTGCCAGCGGCACCTCTTGCTTCACTGCAGTTGCAAACAAAGGAAACCAGCCATCCCGACCTCCCCACCATGGTCTCCTGTTCCTCTTCCTCCTCCTCCAATTCCCTTCTCCCTCAGTCCCCCTTCCCCTTCACCCCGCACCCTTGTTGATGCTCTTTTCGGCCCTCGCCTCTCACTGCCGCCGTCGCCGACGTCGTCGCCGACGTGGGTATCGTGAGCCTCGACGGCACGGCGAGGCTCACGATGCCCGCGTCGGCGACGACGACGTTCGTCGTTCGCCGCGCCCGCCGACGACACCAACTTCGAGGCGCGTGGTGCCGCCAGGGGACGGGGAGGGAGGGGGAGCGGGACGGGGGCGGAGGGACGGGGAGGGAGGGGGCGGACAGGAGGAGAGAATACAGGACGATCAGCGACGCCAGAAACGGATAGTGGGGGTGGGAGGAATGGGCGAGGATGAAGCTGGAAGCAGACGAAGGAGGAGGAGGGACGTGCACGATGAGACAGCGAGGGGGGGATGAGGAGGACGAGGCGACTGCGGAAGGACCGACGGGATGAGGAAGGACACGGAAGAGGAGGAGAGGGAGGAACCAGGAAGAGGAGGGAGTAGCAGGCGAGGGGCTACTGTTCTTTGGCTCAACGATTTAGGCCCCTAGGCGATTTGGGTAAATGCGATTTCGGTGTCCAGGTGTTCGTTTGCACTTTGATTTTTGCACCTGGGTCAGGGCTGATTTTTGAGTTTCTTACCCAGGGGCCAAACTTGATATGCTGGTTTAACCCAGGGGCGCGTCCGAAACAAGCGCCTACGCGCACCTCCCTTTGCACCTCTACCTTTATGTCAGATTGCCCCATACAAATCCCGATCCGATGCCGCGCCGATGCAGCTGCGATCCGATCCGAGTTGTGAGTCGGCGACACTGAGGCTTGACAAGTACGCGGAGGAGGAGCACGAGGAGGGGGAGGTGGACGGGGGGGAGAAGGAACAGGAGGAGGAGGAGGAAGACGAGGACGAGGGGGCAAAGGATTACGAAGGGCGCGATGCAACAAGGGCGCGGGCCCGAGGTCGACCAGTGATCCCAAACAACCTAATCTTGATCCGACTCCTGCCGCTCATGTGCCATTGCTGGCGTTTGGGCCGTTAGGGACCCTCTTGGGGCCTTCTGGTGGCTTTCTGGGGACCTCGTGAGGCTCTTGGAGCATCTCGGACGCCTTCTGGAACTTCGGGCCGAGGGCTCGAAATATCCGTTCGGGTCCTCCATCGGGACCCTTTTTCCGAAGCCGTTCCGGGGTTGCTTGGGCTGTATTGAAGCTTCTAGGGTCGTCTTGGAAGCCCGATAGGGCGTTTCGAGGCCCTCCTAGGGGCGTTTTGGGCCGTGTTGGGGGCGCTCTGGGCTGCCTCTTGGGCTGCTGTGGATGTTGCGAAAGCTGACATGGCGAATATGGTGAAGAAATACGTTTTCCCCATCGGAATGTAACGATCTTGCTGGTGCGATTGTGGGACCTTTTTTGGTGGCGGTTTTGGAGGCTTCGTGGGGCGTCTAGCAACCATTCGGGTTGTCTGGAAGCCATCTTGGGCGCTGAAAGACTGATCGTTCGGGATGGGATGGTGGGGTGGATAAATAAACTAGAGCGGAATGGGGCGGGATGGTGGGAGGAGTGGTCTGTCAGATATGGCGCGAGCGCGCTTAGCTTGTCTCTCCTCCTCTCTCCCCCACTCCTCCTCCACCTTCCGCCGTCGTCCCTCCCCATCGCTCTTCCACCCACTTCCCCCTCCTCCATCATGCTTCTCTCCTCCTCCCTCCCGACAGCGCGAGTGCAGCATGCCAAAGTTCCAGTGTCGAGCAGTGTCGGGCCACGGACGCTAACATAGCAGCATACGCTTTTGCAATGAAAACCGTTTCAGTTTACCCAGGAGTGCTGGCAGAGCTTGTTGATCACATGGGATAGTGTGAGAGACAGACGTTGGCAATGTTGCTCGGCTCGTCGCCTCTGTGCTTCCGTGCTACGGGCAAGAAGAGCGGCGGAGGCGCCTCCCCAATTTTTTCCGAGGAAGGAACGTGAGGAGGGATGGGTGGCACGAGTGGATTAGGTCCGACCTAGGCGTGACATTTAAAGCGTGCTTGGCAATATTGCAGGACGCTTCCCGGGACTGGCCGCTCACGGGGTATCATGGCACGCCTTTTTTTCCGCGTCAGTTTTTCAGCCAGCCAAGTGAACACCGCTTGGTCGCCGTCCATCAGACGAGTGAGCGGTGTGAGCAGGCTGCAGGTTCTGTTGATAAGCCAGTCTTCGTGTTCATGAACTGTGGGCTTGGGCCCAGCAGCGACCTTTGCAAATATTCAATTCCCTCTTGCGTCAAGGCCACGTTCAAGGGTCTAGCCATCGTGCGCAAACTGCGAAAAGGGAATCGGCCCACATTCGAAGCTGCAGACGCACATTGCGTGTGCGATTCCAGCCGAGCGAGTTGCGCCCACACGTCGCGCAGGTCACTCCGAGGCCACACATTCGGAGTGCGGCTATGAGTCAAGGATTGCCGCCCTCCTTGAGCGAGCCCGCCAGTGCGAAGCTTCGCGGAGAGATAGGGGCCCAGCGGGCGGAGCGACCATCAGAGGGTAAAGCCCTAGTCAGCCGCCACTGGGTCCAGTCAGGAGTCATGAAACAGGTCCGCCTCTCGGAGTGTTGTTTCATGCTTGTTTTCGGTTATATTAATCTTGTTATTGATATCATGTGTCTTCGTGTTCTTCTTCTTCTTCTTCTGCTTCTTCTTTTTCTTAGCTTTCTCCCTCCCTCCCCCGTTCCCGTCAGACGCCTGTGCGGGGGCGGGGCAGGGGCGCGCCTGGGAGGTGGGGGGGTAAGCGAGAGAGAAGAGGACATCAAGGTGTCGGAGGAGGAGGAGGGGGAGGAGGAGGGTCGGGAGGAACGGGGTCAATTTTCATACTTCTCCCTTCCACATGTTTCTCCCCCTCATGACTTTCCGCCTCGTCCTCCTCCGCCTCCTCCCATTTGTGTGTCTCTTCCTCCTCCTCCTCCTCCTCCTCCTCCTCATTCTCTTTGGCCCCCCTGGTCAGGGTCGAGAGGCTTCGACAGGCCATAGCCAGGATCTCTGCGCAGGTGAGAATTGAATATAGCCGGCGCCCTTCTTGGGCGACGGGAGGGGAGGGGCAGGGGCCTTCAAGCCGTTGCGTGGAGACCCCTGGAGGCCCCAAAAGTGCACACAGGTCCCGCAGGTCCTGGGAGGCCTACAAACACGGAGGCAGCTAACGGGCCAAGAGCGCCTAGATTTGTTTCTCTATCCTCCTACTTCCTCCCGCCCCTCTTTTCTGTTACTCCTCCCTCTCCTTGCCTTTCCCGCCTGCGAGGAGCTCCAGCAGGAGATGCACGAGTGGGGTTCCAAGCAGCTGCTCCAGGCCGCTCCAAGTGGCACCGCATCAGGTGGGGTCGGAGGAAGTCGCCGTATCGCCTTTGCTTCCGCGACACGGAGTTCGGCCTTTTCCGCCCTGACGTCGCAAACGCACAGCCAATGCATCGACGAGGAGGTGCGCCCCGCCGACCCCACTCTGCCCAGCGCACAAAAGAACGGGGTCGACTGCGCGGGGGTTCTCGCACAGGCTGGCCGCGCAAGGCGCGCGCACACGCACACGCGTGCTGTGCTGCGCGGGTGGCCTTTGAAAGCCACTGCTCGAGGGTGCCGCGCCCCAGCGCGAATGACCCCCCCGTTCTCGTATCCCTCGTCGCTCCTCTGCTCGAGGGCCTCCCCGCCTGGGCGGCCCTCTGGAGGCCCTGCTGGACCTCGGCGGCTTCTATGTGAAGACGGGCCAGGCTCAGCGCACGGGGGGGGAGCGGCAGCTTGCCGCCGTCAGGGCTTAAGGTGTCCTCCACCTGCTCCTCCTCCTCCTCCTCCTCCTCCTCCTCCTCCTCCTCATCCTCCTGCTCCTCCTCCTGTTCCTCCTGCTCCTCCTCCTCATCCTCCTCCCTCCCCTCCTCATCCTCATCCTCCTCATCATCATCCCCATCCTTATCCTCCTCCTGCTGCTGCTGCTGCCTCTCCTCCGCCTCCTACTCCTCTTCGTCTTCAGCGAATCACGTAAGGCACGCTCAACCTCCCCCCTCCTGGTCGGAGCGATGAGGGGCGATGCCAAGGTTTGTCCTGGTTACCCATCCTCAAAGACAGGCTACGAGTTTCCAGCGACTCATTGATCCTCGATCTCCATGATCGTGCCTCGCGAAACGCAACTTGGGCTAGAGAGGTGCCCTCCTCGGGCGGCGGCGCGAGGGCGCGAAGATGACCGTCCACCGCGGTGCGCGATGCGGGAACTCACGGCTGGAAACGTTTGCTTGGCGTGTCGCGACTCCGGTTCTGGCCCATCACGTTTCGGCACGATTCGCTAACCATTATTACCCAGTCCCCGAGCATCAATGGTTCGAGATTTTCCCAGCCTCCCGCTCCGCGAGCGGAGCGACACGCTTTCAGTTGGCAGGGTATAGCTTGTCGCCGGGGCCCCGCCGCGACACGCTATGCAAAAGTTCATCCACCTGCGTTATCGTAGATTGCCTAATCACCAGACATCTGGGTATTTTTTTCCAGGGCGCGGCCCGAGGAGGTCCCGACCGCTTCCCACGGGGGTAGTTCTTTCTGCCGTATCCATTTTTGAAACCCCGGGGCCTTGACGACGGGCCCCAGGGGCCGAAAAGACGGTAAAACGCCAGGATTGAAACAGTCATGTCG